TGTCTTTGTAGGTGTATTGCTTGTAGGCAGCATATGGATGGGTCACGTTTTTAATTCATTCAGCCAGTCTATGTCTTTTACTTGAGGCACTTAATCCATTTACATTCAAGGTTGTTATTGATATGTGAAGGCTTACTCCTGTCATTTTGTTGTTTTCTGATTGTTTTGTACATCCTTTGTTCCTTTCTTCCTCTCCCATTGTTTATCCTTGTGGTTTAGTGGTTTTCTGCATCATTAAGGTTTGATTCCTTTCTCTCTCTAATTTGTGTATCTGCTCTACCAATAAGTTTTATATTTTCAGGTGTTTTTATGATAGTTATTATCATTCTTCTCTTCTAGATGTAGGACTCTCCTCAGCATTTCTTGTAAGGCTGATCTGGTGAAGATGTATTCTATTAACCATTACTTATCTGAGAAATACTTTATTTCTCCTTCATTTCTGAAGGATGGCTTTGCTGGATATAATATTCTTGGTGGGTAGGTTTTTTTGTTGTTGTTGTTGTTTTCTTTTTTTTCTTTTAGTACTTTGAATGTATTATCCCATTCTCTCCTGGCCTGTAGGGATTCTTCTGTGAAGTCTGTACTTAGTCTAATAGGGATTCCCTTATAAATGACTGAACATTTTTCTCTTGCTGTTTTAAAAAATTCTTTCTGTCTTTAACTTTGGATAGTTTGACAACAATGTATCTTGTAGAGGACTTTTTGGTGATGAATCTATATGGGGACTTTTGAGCTTCCTGGATTTAGATGTTCATATCTTTCCCAAAACTAGGGATGTTTTCAGCTATTATTTTATTTAATAGGTTTTCAATATCTTTTTTGTTTTTTTCTCCTTCTGGGATTCCCATAATTCAAATATATGTTTGCTTAATAGTATCCTATAGATCTTGTATGCTTTGTTTATTCACTTTTATTCTTTTTTCTTTCTTTCTTTCTTTCTTTTTTTTTTTGTCTTCCTGTGTTATTTCAAAACTACTGTCTTCAAGACTGGAAATTTTTTCTTCTGCTTTATCTAGTCTGTTGTTGAGGATCTTGGATGTCTTTTATTTCATTTGATGAATTCTTTTATTCTAACATTTCTATTTGATTTTTTAATGTTATCTATCTTTTCATTGAATTTCTCATTCAGATCATGAATTGTTTTTCTGATTCAATTGAATTGTTTTTCCATATTCTCTTTGTTTCAGTGAGTTTCCTTAAGATTATTAATTTGAATTCCTTTTCTGGCAAGTTGGCAATTTCTAATTTTTTGGGTTCAATTATTGGAGCATCATTAACATATCTTTGTTGGTGTCATGTTACCTCATTTTTTTCATGTTTCTTGTTTCCCTTCATTGTTATCTGTGCATCTTGTGAAACAGTCACCTCTTGAAGTTTTTTAGAGTGGCTTACATGGGGAAATACTTTCACCTGCAAATACATCCTAGGTTTTCAACTGAGTAGAGTACAACAGCTTTGTTCAGTAGTGTACTCTGTATAGTTTCTTCAGCTGTAATCCAATTTTGCTGTTTGTATGCAACTCAGCGCCTATGCTTAGGAGGTTTGTGGTGGTGTTGACACAACTTTGCTGAGGGAGGCTTTGGTGGGTTGGTTCACAGACTAGGGGTTTGTGCATGCACACTGTGGGCCAGCTGTCACTAGAGCTGGCTCATTGGAGATGGGTTTTTTTTATTGATTCTCAGGCTGAGGGTGTAAGCATATGGTGTATCAGGGTCTCTGGAACTGATTTGTCCATGTGTTTGTCCAGGGTCACTGTGCTGCTTCTCAGACCAAAGGTGGGCTCACCAGGGGCATATCAGTCAGGCTGCTTCTCATTCAGATGCATGTGTGTGTAATGGTTCAAAGGATCAGTAGTGGGTCTTCCATGAATGTGGCAGCTGGGCTGTTACTCTGAGCTAGAGGTGTGAGTGTGCTTTGACTCAACTAGTTATGTGCAGGTATGCTGGTGTCCTGTCCACTCCATCACTTCTTGTGGCCAGGTATGAAGTCATGCTTCCCTTGGTGGTTTGGGAGCAAGTCTGCCAGGGGCAGAGTTGCCAAGCTGCCTCTCTTCTCTAGAAGTTGTTCAGATCTTGCCAGTTTTACATGCTGCCCCATGTGTGTATGTAGTTCTATGTAATTTCATCATGTGTACAGAGTTGTGTAACCATCATCACAATCAAGATACATAATTGTTCTGTCTCCATAAGGCCACACCCAGTCCCTCGCACTCATCATCCACAACCTCTGGCAACCACTATTTCATTCTCCTTCCCTATAATTGTATGGCAAGAATGCTCTGTATATGCAATCTTATGGTACATAATCTTTGGTTATTGTATTTTTACACTCACATTAATTCCTTTGTGATCATCTAAGTTAGTGAGCAGCATACTAATAGCTTTTTCCTTTTTATTGCTGAGGAGTACTCCGTGATATGGATGCACCACAGTTTGGTTTGTTCAACCATTCACCTTTTGATGGGCATCATGGATGTCTTACATTTAGATTTATTTACTTATTTACTTATTTTAAAAGTGTACTAAGGGTTCCTACTTGTGGATGAAATGTGCCAATTTTCAGTTGCAGAACATGTTGTTTAATTATTGAATTCTTAGATTCAGCAAATTGTTCTTTTTTGGAGGAAGCAGGGCAAGATGGCTGAATACAGGTGCCTGGGGCACATACCTTCCATAGAAAAGGACTAGAACAATGAGAAGACCACTAAATATTGACAGGAGCATCTGTGGGAGAGTGTAGGAGTGCAGCAGGAGACTGGTGAGATCCCTGTGGAATATGAAAGCCCAGAATTTCAGCACAGAGAGGAGAAAGAGGCACACGGCCTCAGCTGTCAGGTCTCCACCACTGGGACTAGCACAGAAGAATTTTCTCTTATGGTGAAAAGTTAGACAGAGGACCCACACCAGCTCCCATCCTCACTACAGAGGCCTGAAGATCTTTTTGCTCCAGCACAGGAGCACTGCTGTGCATGCCCCACCCCCATCCTCAAGATACAAGTCAATGTGGTATGATGCAATTTTGAAAACACAGCTACTTCAGGAGAACATCCTGCCCTAGGGCCAGTAGCTATTAAGGCTCAAAAGTCATCTCAGGGCACTCATAGGAGAGCCTACACTGCCCTGATCCCACGAGCTTAAAGCCTGGGCCCACAGTGGCTGTACTCTAGTTCTGCAGCTACGGAAGCCAGCCCCAGGCCTGCTGAACTGACACAGCACCACGTCTAGGCAAGAGATCAGAGAGGCAGACCTGCATCTGGTGGACTGCTCTCCACTACTGCAATTCTACCCTTTCCCCCACTACCCCCTACCACCAAATTCAGTTTCTGGGATTTGACATGTACTATGTACTAGAGTCGTGTATGATGTAACCATTGGAGAAAACTGGGTGAAGGGGACATTGGACTTCTTCCCCCACTACCCCCTACCACCAAATTCAGTTTCTGGGATTTGACATGTACTGTGTACTAGAGTCGTGTATGATGTAACCATTGGAGAAAACTGGGTGAAGGGGACATTGGACTTTGTTGTACTTTTTTTCAACTTCCTGCACATCTATAATTGTCTCAAAATAAAAAGTAATTAAAAAAAAAAAAAAACACCCAAACATAAAGAAAACCAAGGGAAATTGGAGGTAAAATCAGCATGCTTTTATTTGTCTACCAGGCACCTGTATCTCATTGAATTTTTATGACAACTTTAATAAGTGGGTACTACTATCCTTTTTTTTTTTTTTAGAGAAAGTAATCCTAGGTTGAGAGGGTTTAAGTAGTGTGCCCAAGATTATAGTTGGTGTATTAGTCTGTTTATGTTGCTTATAACAAAACACTTGGAACTGGGTGGTTTATAAAGAAAACAAAATTTATTGCTTACAGTTTCTGAGGCTGGGAAGTCCAAAGTCTGTCTGGTGGTGGCAGAAGTGACCCCGGGGTCTCATGTTGCAAGATGGTAGAAGCAGAGAGAGGAAAGAAAGACAGACTCTCCTCTTCTTTTAAAGCCCTCAGAACAATGCCCCTGACCACCGTTTTTGATCCATTCAGTACTGCATGGTCAGTCCTACAATCCAATCACCTCTTCCAGCCTCCACCTTTCAATTATCATGATAGGATTTCTCACCCTCCTAACAGTCACTGTGGGGGCTAAATTTCTAATACATAAAACTTGGGAGACAATCTAAGCTTCATCGAGTTTGTGGGAGGACATAATTCAATCCATTACAGTTGGCCTGCAGTACAGTCAGAATTCAGTCCTAACTCTAATTCCCAAGTTCATGAGCTATCCTCTATACTGAGCTGCCTCTCTTTAAAGCTGTTTAAATTAATTCATGGAATGTATTTTTTTGAGGACTTTGGGAAGAGAGCAGGAGTTGTAATCCATAGCTCTCATGTTACATGTGATCATTTACAAGGGATCAAAGCTGTATCCCTTTAAGCCTTTTTCTATTCCTGCTGTGAGACTGAATTGTGGTTTTGATAAAAATCTCATTGGTGAATGCCTATTTAATTTTTTAATTATAAGGTTCCCTGATAACATATGCTCCTGTGTAGTGCAGAAAAACAGACAGGAATATGCATAGACCATTTCACTAGTAAGAAATAATGAGAGGAGAGCCATTTTAGTGCCTTTGAATGCTAAAAACTTTTATTGAGGTACATCAAGCAATTCCACATGAAAATTGATTACACAAGAAGGAATACTAAGAAAACATTAGGAGTAAAAAAATCTAGAAGAGGAACATTTGAAGACTCCTGTACTTTGAATCAGAAATAAGAATTCTAAGATAATTTGAGACAGAATCTGATTATAAATTCTGACTCACCAGTAATACAATGTTTCTAGAAAATAAAATAAATCATAATGAAGAGAGCAGGGTTTTCCAAATAAGTCCACGGCTCTGCTTATAAGTTCATGAAATTAGGAAGTTTACAAGTTCTTTTGAATAGATGCTCTCTGCCTAGACTGAAGGATGGGGGCAGCAAGGTTCAGGAATCCAGACCAAGACACTCAGCAACAAGAACCACCACAGCAGCTGGGGCGGCAGCACGTTGTTCTATAGCAAGTGGTCTGGCAGCAGGTGGGGCGGCAGCAGCTAGAACCACAGCAAGAGGGTCGGCAGCAGCTAGAACCACAGCAACTGGGGCGGCAGCAGCTGGAACCACAGCAGCTGGATCCACAGCAGCTGGGCCTGCAGCAGCTGGACACACAGCAGCTGGGGCGGCAGCAGGTGGTCCTGCAGCAGGTGGTCTGGCAGCAGGTGGGGCGGCAGCAGCTAGAACCACAGCAAGAGGGGCGACAGCAGGTGGAACCGCAGCAGCTAGATCCACAGCAGCTGGGCCTGCAGCAGCTGGACACACAGCAGCTGGGGCGGCAGCAGGTGGTCCTGCAGCAGGTGGTCTGGCAGCAGGTGGGGCGGCAGCAGGTCTCTTGGCCACAGCCCTGGTCAGAGCAGATGGAACCACAACAAGAGTTGACCATGGTGTGAGAGGATGGAGGTTCTGGTTTGTTTTCCAGGAGAGTGAATTTCTGGAGTTTAGTAGTCTCTTTGCACCACAGCCTCTTATATACTGCCCTGTTTTCCTGTTGTCAACATGTTTTCCTTGTTTTTGTTTACTTATTAATTAGGTAATTATCAGTTTACACCATAATGTTTTCCATTTAATAGCTTAAACTTGGTGGAAACAAAAATTCCTTGTCTGGATGTCATAATTTCTATCTGATCTACTCCTCCTCCTGACTCACACCTTGATGGCCTCTTCTAGACCATATTCCCTTCATCTTCCTCCACAGAGGTCTGTCATGTGGTATTCTGCATGTGGAATTACATTCCTCACTCTCCCCTCCTGTGTCCTCTACCAGGATGGGGTTTAGTCAGTCCTGTTTTTGGTTATGAATTTCTTCCAGTGACCGAGGGGGCAGGGGTGTGGGGGAAGCCCATTTGCTTAGTGTGGTACCTGGCATGGGACAAGAGAAAAAGACCTTATTTTGTGGGCCATTTTTGAGCAATGAGTGAGGGGACAGCTCTAAATATGTGTGATGTTGTGTGTGTATACATTGGAATCAGTTTCTATGGAAGTTTCAAAATTTGGATCATGCCCTATCCTCAAACTCTGGCAGGCAATTTATCCATATAGTTGTATTACTGTGAGTTTACACAGTTTCTTCAGTTGCTACTTTGCTGTCTTACATGTTTGTATCATGTCTTTCCATCTGATATCTTAGGTTCTGGAAGATAGACTCATTTTTCCTTCTTATCTCATTCTTAATTAAGAATTTGTTTCAATGGAGTGAAAAATGTTGAATAATCAAAATGTGCCTCTCTTCAGATCATACTTCTGGAGATGGAAAATTTACAGTGCACATTTTGGGAAGGATCTGAAGTGTCAGTGTATTTTAGTCAATTCCACCTCATTGAATTACTATTTCTACTTATCTTCTATTTAGCAGCATTCTAACTTAAACGTGCACCAGAATCATTCAGAGGGCTCGTCAAAACACAGATTGCTAGGGCTACACCCAAAGATCCTGATCACTGGGTAGAAACCCAGGCTCTGAATTGCTAACAAGCACCCAGATAATGTTGATACTGAGGGTCCAAGGACCACACTAAGAGACCTCCTGCTTTATTCTGTTCATTCTAGTTTTGCAGAAGCACCTAGATCAAGTTACTGCCTTGTTTATAAAACAGATTTGTTGACTGGATAATCTGAGAGACATGTGCTGCCAGCCATTGGGGTTACAAATATGATTTAGAGTCTTCTCCTGAAGAACTCACAGTTTACTGGGAGGGCCACACACACACACACCACCTAATTGTAATATAATGTGGTAAAGTAACATCAAAAGACCTCATAGTAGTGTAATTTAACTAAAAGACTTGTGCTTAGAGCAAATTAGCTAACATGCAATTTGGTAGATTTATTTAGCAAAATTTACATAAATTAAAATGCACAAATCATAAGTGTACTATTTGATGATTTTTGATAAATTGATACATCATGTAATCCCCACACCTATCAAGATAGAAAACATTTTTATTATAACAGAAAGTTCTCAATTCTCTCATTTCAATAAACTCTGCCACCATAGAGGGAGCCACTGTTCTATTTTTTTTTTTTTTTAAACCATAGATTAGTTTTGATGTAGAACTTCAAACAAATGATATATGGTATAATTTCTGTCTGGCAATTAGGTTGTCATGTGTCTGTGAGTTACTGATGTTGATGCATGTATCACTAGTTCATTCAGAGATATACCAATGAATATCAATGCTTAATTTTAACTATTACAAGCCAATTTCATGGTGGGGTGACCAACTGTCCCTATTTGCCCAGGACTGAGGAGTTTCCAGAACTCAGGAATTTCATTGCTAAAATCAGAGAAGTTCTAGGCAAACAGAGACAAGTTAGTCACCCTGTGAAGCATCCTTAAATGACTTAATTAAGATGATTTAAAGATCAAGCCCCTTGTAACATTTTCAGCATATTAACTTGCTGAGCAAACACTTGATTTATGTGTTTTGTTTTTATTTGACAGGCTTGTGTTTGCAAAGCTGGAAAACAAGAAAGATTCAAACAATTACATTGTGAGGTAATACGGTGTCTTGAGGGAAAGTTTTTCACTTGATTTGCTTTATATGAGAGGCTAAGGAAAAAATAAGAAATATCAAAGAAAGAGTTTTGGAGTGTTAGGGAAGAGGTTTCTATATAAAAGTAGGGAGATTAAGAAAACCTTTCTGGCACAGCTACAAAGGCAGAGTACATTCTCATTATAGAGAAGTGTATAGAGTACCACAGTCCCTAAACCAAGGATCCTCAAAGTTGGCTGCATATTGGAATCACCTGGGAGTGTTAAAAACTACTAATGGCTGGCTCCTGCCCAGAAAAACTCTTATCTAACTGGTCTGAAGTAAGGCTTGGGCATAAGAACTTTTAAAAGTTCCCCAGGTAATCCTAATAGGCAACCAAGTTCGGAACCCACCCCCTTAAACTGTTTGTATTCAATGCACTTATACAATATTAAATTGGAAAGAAAAATAGCTAAAATAATTAAAATACGATTGGTGGAATCTGAATAATAGAGAAAATGATCTTGGATTAGAAACACTGAACTTTGAGCATTGCAGACTGAAACACTGATAATTCGCTTTACTCTTTTAGATCACCCTGATACCCAAACCAACAGTCCCGCAGGACTGAGAACGGAGCAGTAGGGAATGAACCACGGTGGGAAATTACTATGGTTAGAATGCTAGATTTTTAAAAAAATGAAACTCAAAAGCAGAAGAGATGTCCCTTTATGTACTGCTTGCTAAAGTTTACCCATAGTCAAGTGAAGAAATGTGGACATGAGGACCATACACACAAATTATGTAAAGTCTACCTAAAACTGTACTTCTTTTATTACATACGGTGGTAGATGAAGTGTAATATTTTATGTACTTTTTTCTTTTTAAACTAATTGTTTTGTTTGTCTTTTTCATATTTCCGTGATAAAAAATCTGTTAGCTAAACATCAAGGAAATTTGAACAAAGTGGACCCAATTGATATTTGTAATAACTATTGAGGGGGGGACAATTAGCTTTGTATCTCATGAATATTCTTAATTAAAAAAAGGAACCTGTGTTGTGTCTACTAGGTAAACTGGACATATGTTAATATATTCTTTAAAGAGTGGCACACACACAAAAAGTCTTTTCTTGTCAGGTATCACACACAACTAAGTTAGTACTTAATCATTTTTTAAAAATCAATACCTGCTATGTATTTTGTCTGTAACTGAAATGTACTACAATTAGTTTAATTATAGTGACTTAGATAGATATAATATCATGCTTTAGATAGAAACACCTACAATAGGCATGCCTAACTGATAGAATAAAATATTTTCAATTCAGTTAAGTTCTTTGTAATAAAAATCGAACTCCATTAGAGTATTTGAGAATAAATATTGAACAATATTACTAGTCTTGATATGAAGTGGTATATATAATCAGTGCAATATTTAAAATAATATAAATGCTCATAAAACATTGACTGAATTTCCATGTTCTTTAACTATCTTCAATCATGGCTTAATCTAATGTTGCTTTTTAAAATCTTAAATAGAATAAGCATTTCAGTTCACCCTGAATTTTTAAAAGCTCTTCCTTGTGAAAAGCACACATATGCTGAAAAGTGTAGAAAATATACATGTAAAATACAATAAATAATTATTAAGCAAGCATCTATACCCAAAACCCAAATCAAGAAATAGAATATTGCTGTTTCCAAAAAGAGCTCCTATGTGTCTTTTCTTGATTACATCTCCCATCCTCCACCCTAGAGAGAATTGCTAACTTGATTTTCTAAATTGTTTTCATTGTTCTTTTTATAGTTTACCACCTAAACATGCATCCTTAAAAAAACAGTTTGGTTTTACATATTTTTGGACATTGTATAAATGGAAACTTATATATGTATTTTGTATTTTGATTTTTTTGCTCAATATTACATAAGAGCTAGAGTAGGCAGCCTTGAAGATGGTCCCCAATTATTTCCACGTCCTGGGGTAAATGGTCTTACGTAATTCCCTCCCCTCGAGTAACTTCTAATCAAACGTGTATGGCCACACCAAGTGATTAAATTACAAAAGCTT